AAAAGCTCGTCGCTGTGAAATCTGAGGAGCAGGATGCTGCTTGTTGTGTTGCTGTGTAGTCTAGAAAGTGGAGACACGAGTTTTTGTGGAGCCGGATAGTTGTGTTGTTCTTGTCTGTTGTTGTGGAAAATGGAGACTGCACCGCTGGCCTTTTCCCTAGGGTGCGGGTGCGGAGAATTGGCACCGAGTTCGCATGGCTTCCGTAAAGAGGACAAAACTTTTTGTTTCGGTCCACGAGGAGCCTCACAAAGAGCCAGCCCTATGCATATGTATCTCAGTCAACCAACCAGTTTTTTTTTTTTCACTCTTTTAAGCCCGGGGGAACGACCCGTTCGTTTTCCGCTTCAAAAAAATGTGCCGCATTGCATTGTTGTTGTTGTTGTTGTTGTTGTTGTTGTTGTTGTTGTTGTTGTCTTCACAGTAATAACCTTTCCGATATCTCTACTGACAGCATAATTTTAAGGAAAAACAAATACACACACACAGAAAGACTAGTAAGAGAGAAGGCGCCGAAAAAATTACCGTTGAAGCATATGGTGGCCTTCGCCTTCCAGGTGGTGGGCGATGAGTCAGCACTGCGAGGCGGTTGCAAAAAAGGCCGAAAGATTGGCATCGGTGGATGGAGCCAGTCGTGAATCCCTGTTTGCTGTACCTACCTGCCTGCCCATCTGGGGTGCGCTCGCTGCTGCTGCTGCTGGTGATGCTGCTGCTGTTGCTGCTGGTGCTCCTAACGTTGTTCGCCATTTGGGTTCCTGCGCGAACGGAAACGAAGGTGTGTCTGTTGAGAACTTGTGCAAGCGGAGGTTGAGGTTCGGGGCGCTCTTCGACGTAAATGAATACATGCGCATTGTGAGCTGCTGAGCGTTTCTTCGAAAAACACCAAGCGGCGGCAGCCACAGCCAGCTGCGGGTTGGTCTGCGGCCTGTTTCTTTTGTCATTGGTCACCACACGCCTTGATGGCCCTCATGAGCCCACTCCGAAAGGATCACTTGTAAGTGCACGGTGTCTAGATAATAAGAGTGTCTCGGCATCCCTACCAATCGGAAGTGTTGCGTTGGGGTTCCACGGGCCTCGCACGCAGATGATCTTCGAACAGGTCGCGTGGGTGTATTGGTCTTTGTATAGGACTTCGTATTTTGGGCAAAGCTGATCAGTGACTCCGTGTGCTGCTGCGAACAAGGTGCTCCCCAGGCCTCGCGGGTGGGGATGGGCTGTTGATTCGTAGTGCCCGGGGTCATAGTTGATGGTTGTACCAACACCGCTGACGGAGTCTCTCGGCACTGACCGCTGTGGTCGCTCGTGCTGTATGTGTAGTCTTCTGCTGAACTGTGCTGTAGCCATCCATCTGCTGCACAAGATCTATCTCGACATGTATAAAGACGCGCACACACAGCAAAGGGTCTTCCACTCGATCATGGACAACCACGACGTGCATCGCATCAGAGGTGAAGTTTATCGTTCACTATGTTGTCTTTTCTGTCCGTTGAGCGCACCCTGATCGACATGACAAGATAACGAGTATGCGTTATGCCTCTAAAGAGTCAGGGACTCTTTTACGTCACAAGATGTAAAGATTCACCGAGGAGGTTCAGAGGTGGAGTCAGTCGCCAGCGATGCCATGGACGCTCCTTCTCCTGGGTGCAGACGGAGGCATCTCCTTTCTTCCCCTCGCTGCCTCAGCAAGGTTTTGCTTAGGCATGACCCATTGCGAGGGGGGGAGTCTTTCTAGCGAGCAGGGCTAGACTCACCCTCAAGGGACCGGTACCTTCTTGCTTCGGCGCACCCGCCGCGAGACGTGCGAAGTGGTGGAGTTGGGTCGGAGCTGGTGCGTCAGGTGCAAGGTGCAGATGCGCGGGCCTCCATGACCGTCGATTGGTGTAGGAAGCAATGCCCATCTTATCTTTGTGCGCAAAGGCAGACGCCATCAGAAAGGTTGACGGGCGCTATGCACACTATCGGGGGATCGGGGTGCGTTTCCCACCGCGGACGTATTTGTGTTGGTGCCAAGGATCTTGTCGTAGTAATGTTCAAGTCCAATAGAGCTGCGATCAAAGTGTCGTGTTATTAGAAGTTCTGACCGTACCGGGACAAGGAGGGAGAAGACTCCTGGTGGGTCAGACTGACCTCGTGTGGGTGTCTCTTCGTCCACACACATGTCCACAAATTCTCGAAATGCTACAACGCCCGCCTTCAGCAATCTGTACATAAAAAAAAAAAAACGCACACGGCAACGATCACTCTCAACTTCAACTCTGCTGACAGTCCATCCTTGCATTCCGAGAATCTAGGAATCTATCCAGTCCTCTCAACAGACCTGTCAAATAACTCAAACTTATTTATTCCCCCATGAAAATACCGATTCGCCTCACAAGACTCCGATAGTTCAGTACTCTTTGAAACGGTGACCACCGAAGAAAACTGCACGCGTCTACTCAGGCTTTCACCTTGTATTCGAGTTCGTTTAGGAGTACTTTCACCATTATCCCCTTTGTTGTCGCTGCCATCATTCTGATCCTCATTTTGACGATCTCTTGCCAATTCTTTCCTAAATAGCCCTGCGTTATTTGTTCTGGGGAAGTTCATCTGGCTCAAACCCTTTGCTCTCTTCCACTCCTCCATGTTTTCCTCCTCCATCATCGTCTTCGTCCTCCTCTCTTCCCTTTCCCCCTCCGTCTGTGACTGTTCTTGGGCACGTTGAGCGTCGCTTTGATCTGTTGTTGGTGTTTGCGTGCAGAAGTCCCGCAGAACATGGGAAGCATGATCACGCAAGAAGAATAGTGATCAAACGTAAGTTGCTTCCAGCAGAAAGTAGGACGTGCAGCAAAGACATGGCCAGCCTACGAAAAAAAAGCACACTCGATCGCGCACACGCCAAAACTCAGGGCGGGAGAAAACAGAATACTCCGCACACGATATAAATTCCTGGCATACTTGTTTGTACAGTATACGCCGCCCATAATTTATTGTCTGGACCACAGCAGCACTATTTTTTTTGCTGTACAACGTCTGTTTCCGCACCGTAGTTGTCACTGCTCCGCTTTGTGAAGCGCGCGTGGGTAGGTAACCTTGGTCTACCCAACCTGGTCTAGTATGCTTTTGTGCTTGGTGGTACGTGTGTGAAAACAAACACAGCGTACCTAGCTGTGTGTGGCGCTCATTTGCCACTATCGGCCACTGACTTCCTGTACTCGCAACTGCCAAGCCTGTGTCCCCTGTAGGTGGTAAAACTGTGCAAGGCTCTAGTACTGGAAAAAAATGCTGACTTGGCTCCAATCTGTCCGCAGGGCATTTCGGGACACTTTCATTCTGACATACTGAAGCCCAGTCAGTCTTCGTCCCTCGGGACTGTAGACTATGGCCGCTCCCAATGAGCGGATGCGATTTTTTCCGGACCTTACACATAATTGTACGTGTCACTACTTGCTGTAGTACTGGACGGCCAAATTGAGACACTTTGGGGACAGCACTCAAACTTGCTGTTTGCCGCACCGTAGTCGTCACGACAATCGCTAGGATCCGCTGTGTGAAAAGCACGTGGGGAACCTTGGCCTACTCTAACCATTGCTAGGGGGGACAATTGCCCTCCCGCCCCTGTTGGATACCTTGGTGCGCCAGGCGCAGTTGTATTCTAGATGGCAACAAGAAAAGAACCGAGCGGCGAGTTTGCCGGCAACGACAAAATACAGCAAACTCCCCGCGGGTGTCGTAACCCGCATCTGTGATGTTCCGGAGCGCGATAGCTCTGATATGTTGACGCTGGCGGTGTGATAGCTTTGTGATGGCGTGATAGCTTACAGCCGTGACAGCCTAGCAGCGTGATAGCTGGTGGATATGTAGTGTGGACACGGTCGTGATAGCCCAGGGCGTGATGGCCGGGTAGAACGGAAGATGAATTATCTAAGGGCATGTGGCCAACACCGTTGTAGACACGCATACACACATGCCCAGAAAACAACAATATGTGGCAAAGATGGTACCATGACTCCCTCAATGTATCACAACTGCAGAACCCCAAAAATTCGCACCTCGATCTTCTCGAAATGTTCCCCGGCCGAAACAATCTGTCCATGCTGTGAGTACATCCAACAGCCCCCAGTGCCCCAGTAGGGCGGGCGGCCACTATGCGTAGGACGGTTGCAGCGGGGTGATAGGTACCATACCATGACTCCCTCAATGTATCACAACTGCAGAACCCCAAAAATTCGCACCTCGATCTTCTCGAAATGTTCCCCGGCCGAAACAATCTGTCCATGCTGTGAGTACATCCAACAGCCCCCAGTGCCCCAGTAGGGCGGGCGGCCACTATGCGTAGGACGGTTGCAGCGGGGTGATAGGTACCATACCATGACTCCCTCAATGTATCACAACTGCAGAACCCCAAAAATTCGCACCTCGATATTCTCGAAATGTTCCCCGGCTGAAACAATCTGTCCATGCTGTGAGTACATCCAACAGCCCCCCAGTCCCCCAGTAGGGCGGGCGGCCAGCATGCGTAAGACGGTTGCAGCGGGGTGATAGGTACCATACCATGACTCCCTCAATGTATCACAACTGCAGAACCCCAAAAATTCGCACCTCGATATTCTCGAAATGTTCCCCGGCTGAAACAATCTGTCCATGCTGTGAGTACATCCAACAGCCCCCCAGTCCCCCAGTAGGGCGGGCGGCCAGCATGCGTAAGACGGTTGCAGCGGGGTGATAGGCAGAGGAAGTAGAAGTGATAATGACATCGGTACGAAGAGCAGGGTACGTGAGTCTTCGACGATATTGGCTCCACGCGTCCGTCCGTTGCGTAGATATATATATATTTATATATATATACATATATATTTTTGCCTTCCGACAATTGCAGATGTACCTCAGAAAACTTTCACTTAATGTCTCATACTCTACATGAAAATTTAACCAATACGAAGTACAACAACATATGTAGGACTTATTTCCACTGTCACTTACATCGTAAAAATATCTCCTCTTCAATTTGAAATAAAACCAATGACAATGCTCATGGTATCCTACATGCGTTCGTAAGCTTGCTAAATACTACTGCGTTGATGTCCTCTTGTAAAACCTGATATCCAACAAATGCTTTGATCCGTGCTACATCTCCGTGTTGGAAAAGCCCTTTCTTCTCCGTTCATGATAACATCTTACCCTATTCTACGCAAATCTGTCACATCTACTCTTAAACACGACGCCAACTTCAAACGATAACGCGTTCTACGATGCGTCCACACTCCATCCCCATATCATTGGCGTTGACTGGTTCGAGGTCGATCTTGTTCGCCTGTTTTCGGCGTCTTGACGCCCGCGCAATGCGATCTTGTACCTCTGCACTCGCCGATATATGGCCACCTGTGTAGCCACCGAAACGATCTGAAGAAGTCGTTCCTTGAAGACACCTTTCAGAGCCATCGTTCCATACGGAGTTCCTTCCTCCCACGGCATGTGTCACAAGTTATTTCTACTAGGGGCAACGATTGGCCCCCCGCCCCCCAATGGGGCGTACGCCGGTTCGAAAGTGGCTGTTGCTGTACAGTACAGTACAACAGTAGTTGATAGGACAGGAGTGAAGTCGGAGTTGCAGAGCGACATGCCGTAGACGAAGCGCATATACCGTAAATATATTCATTCGTGATCGGTGCCGCACGCATGTGGTCGAAACAACTTGAACGCAAGACCAAAACCAATCATGAACCGTCGCCAAGTGCATCCATGACAGGGGGTAACGATAGCACGCAAGGGTGCAGTACAAGCTGTCGTTGCTGCACCAAATATCGTTCGACATGTGGTGGCCTCAACGCTAGGCATTCCGTCGCAAAGCATGCTGCGTGGTCGCCACAGCATCAAAACAACACTGCTGTAACAGCAAACGTGAGCCGTCCGATTGTGCACTCATGAACAGTGTGACGAGGGCACGTTAAGGTTCGATACACGTCGCCGTTGCTGCACGAAGTTCGTGAGACATGTGGTGGCCACAAACCTATATTCTAGTAGGCACTTCGTCGCAGCTGTGTGGCACGCAAAAAAAAAATACGGCACCAACTTCGGTGTGCGCTAAAATCAAGTCTAATGTTTGACGACGACATCCTGTGAGTATATAGCACCCGGTCGCCCCGGTGGCTAGTGGGTAGCCTCGCAGCCTGCTAAGGGCCAGGTCATGGGTTCGAGTCCCGGCAGAGAGATTTTTTTTCTCGCTAAATAAATCCTGGTCTAGGATGAAAGCGACGCGCTGCAAAACTCATTTGTTAGTAAACCAGAATCGACTTCGAAGTCGAAAAAAATACCTCAGGCATGAACCGCAGGAGGGGGTCCAACCCCCCCCCTCCTGTGTGACCCCGGTTGAGTCGTCTAGCTAGTAGAAGTGGAGGATAGGGGCCAGAGGGGCAGACGACAGAGTCCAATGATGGGAGAAAAAATACACACATATATATACTGCACATGCAGTTAACATGATGTTTGTTCGACGGTAAAAAATCATTGATGAAGCCGAAAGTAATTTTCGTGAAAAGGTCAACGCCCGATCACCAAACCTGACATATGGCGGACGGAAGAGGAGGATGGGGAATTTTCCGAAGAGGGAATGCATGCATGGGTGAGATCAAACTTTAGTCTACATCCATGCACTCAAGGGTTGTAACCTTCGCTTTCGAACAACAAATGGCCTCGAATCGGAGGCTCGTAGACAAGAGCACCTATGGAGGTTTGATATATATGCACTAGGATGTAGGTACACCCAGCAGCTGTGATTGATGATGGTAAGTTGAGAATCCAGTTCGAATGATCCGAACAACACGACACAACATGTTCAACGCTGCGGGTGCATGCACGCGCAAAGACTTTCTACAGCAGCATCGTGACACTTTACCCGTTGATGTCGCATTGAAGTACCGTTCGCACGGTCGCAAGAGGAACGCCATGCGTGCGCTGTCTGTCGCAAAGATTCGGTGGTTTTCGGCATTACCGAGCGTTTAAGAAAAAAAAAGTCGTGCTACATGTAGAGTACGTACAAACTTCATTTCTCATGCTCTCTTGAAAGTAGTAAGATGCGTCGCTGAACAACTCTACACAATGTCTTTGCAGCGAGCGCCGTAGCTACCCTAACGCTCCTGATCTCTGCCACGCTCGTTTTGTGTGTTGCCATCTATGCTCCTCAAGTGGTCCATGCCCGTCGGTAACCCCCCCCACATTACATACCCTCCGTGCAGCGCTACATGCAATCTAGCCATGGGCACTTGATACTATGTCATGTACCTGCAGCTGTCAAGTGGTCAACATGTACCTCATGACTATGACGTCATGCCGACATTATGCAAAAGCGGGTTTACACTTTGACAGCGACGCACGTATTGCATTCAGGGATGGCCACAGCACGGCGCAGTACATACATACATCCACAGCGTTTCAGGTATCATACGTACCTCAGTGTTCGTAAGATCGTTCCCACCGGAATGTACACAGCAGTCACGGTTTCGTTTGGTGCCACGGTGTCGACTCGTTCTGATCGATCAATGAGACATGGTGTCGCATTTTTTTCCGGTGCACATGATGATGTATGATTGTTTTGATGTTCAACGAGTGAAGCGCAACGAGTATGTACAAAAACCGAATGAAGAGGGATGTACAGCATTAATTCAAGGCTGATGAAACGTCGGTGGCCATAGACAACGAGATGCATACTTTGTTGAGCATCACAGTGACCCGCCTCCACTGTCGGGTTCTTCTTGTTGTTGCAACATGTTCAGCGATTGAATGGACGGCAGGTAGGTATGTGGAACACCTGAGTAAGAGTTACGTGCCAATTCAAATCAAGGACCGAAGCCGATGGAATTCCGGCAGCAAGGTCATCAGGCGCTCGATCCACTTCACATGGATTTGCAATCCAAAGATCACGTCGTTGATGTCCGCAGTTTCTACTGGAAAAACTGGGTTCTGCAACGGCAACCGCCATATGAGACGACAGTACTCCACTTTGTCCGAGTTTGTCGCATCGGTGAAGGCAAGGGTTCCCTTGCTGCGCGCCGAAAAAGAAAAAACTACCCCACTTGCGTCCACTCCAATGCCAAGTCTAGATAATGCATCGCGACATCCTGTGAGTAATCTAGAACATGATTGAACAGGTGTACGGCTGTGGGACAAGCAGCGTGATGCCTCCCTCTCGGCCTCTGACTCACGGTACTCAACGTTCCCACAAGCCGTATGCCCCCTGAAGAAAACACTGACTTGGCGTCAGCATGCCAACTAAAGTGTCCCCAGTGCATTGGGGACAAGTTTCTGTCAACAACGTCAGCCCTCGTCCCAGGACTGAGCAGCCTTTCCGACGCGTTTTTCCTGGACCTACATGTTTTAATGCGGAGGCACCACCAATAGCAAACACAATATCCTGTAACTACTGTTAACAGCGTGCTGCGTACAGCAGTTGAGTGTTAGACGACATGTTCACTAAAACCAATAGAGCGGCCATCTGTATAACCTCGGCGTCCACGGTAGCGCTGTGTATGAACACTTAGCGGCTACACAATATTTGCAACTCTGCAGCACCAGGCCTTTCGCGTTGAGCGGTCTGCTATAGTGCCCTGAACACGATCGATCTGTCCCCACGCTACCGGCTTCAAAGCGGAGCTGTTGTTGTCACCGAGGAAAGATATTATTCTACAGTAGTGGTTTACCCAAGGGCCAGCGCGATGGTATGAAATTCTAGCCAGCACGAGTTGCTTTGGAAAGAATCGCATGGTCGAGACGGTGGTTGCTTTCCACTGATTCTGTGTGCTGCAGTTACTGGGCGTTGCTGGCGTCACCGGCAAGAAGAGGGACGCAGACGGGAAACAGGGAGGAGCGCCACGACAGTTTTTTGTCGAAGTCGGCCGGTACCGCCATGCGTGAGCGACAACAAGGTAGTTCATGTGGCGCGATTCTGGTGTCAAGCATTCCACGCCCATATTCACTCGCGCATCACGATACCGCTCTGATTCTTGGTGGGTGTTGAATTAACGCCTCTTCTTACCTGTCTCGCTGGAACGATGAAACCCCAAAGTGAACACGCACGCAGAATGGAGATCGATGCAGCGTCTTCATGAATAGTTTTGGGCATAGAAGCGGTAAAGATGCACGAACCAATCATGCGAAAACCGCCGGAGGAATAATGGAGGCCTACGGTGTCGTTTGTGGTAGTGAAAGATAGAACGCACGTGCACGCATGACCGTTGCAGGTATGTTCATAATGGCATCAAGTCATATTACTTGAGACGGCCAACGTTTGGCTGTGCCGATCTACGCTGCCGCCGCTGGGCCGCTGAGTTTGACCTAATGAAAGTTCGACCGAGGAGCCACTACTGTAGGAACTTGGAGGACATTGCACCGAACCAACAAGATAAACCCAAACAATCGTCTGTCATAGTCAAATGTACCCACTTCTCCGGTGCCTTCCTACCATCGTCTAAGCAACGTATTCATTACATCCAGATTATTCTTCACCCTCTTAGCGTGTTTTGGTCACCGCGCGGGTTGTTGTGCGGACGTCTCAAGTCACACCGTGGAGTGAGTGCAGGACACTTCAACCCATCTACCTGTCGATTCTCCGACGCCCATTGCGCCCATCGAAATCCCACCTCTGACCACACCTCACTACGCGCAATACCACCGCCGACTTAAGGCCAAATCACTACGGAAACAAGTACGGACATGGTTCGGTGGATAGGAGATAACTTCAGTTGTGCCCTCGTTCGAACGGCTTCGACAGAGAAAAGACGTACCACGTAAATATATGCGTAGGTCCGGTCACAACCCCGATATTGGCCACAGCTGGCCGTGAGTCAGGTAGAGCGGTGTCGTCGGCCCCAGCTCGTTCGATTGTGTCTGTCGCTGCAACACTACAACGTGGAACTAATCAAGGGGAGAATGTTAACGCGCATGATCGACCTGGCACCGTTCTCACCTTGATTACTTTGTGGAGGTGGTGGCGAATGCGGAGTCACATGTTCTTCGACATTTTCCCGGAATCAATCGCGGATAAACGCAGAAAGCGTTTGGCCGCCGTTCCCTAAGCCTGTTCGAGCTTCGGATGATTTTAAAAAATCTATGCCGAACGCGCGAATGAACGTGCAAGTGCGCGCATATTTGAAGCTACAGTACGTCCACAGCGATTTCGGATGACGGCTGTGCATGATATGGCCTATCGAAGAACGGACAGACGTAGGGGCCCTTCGGATTCGCACGGAGTGCCTCACACGGCAGACTACGAACTTGAGCGACACGCTTTTGGTGGGACTGATTCGCAGCGGTATTCCTGAAAGTACATCATCACCTCACATGGTTTCGTGTCGACACAGTTAGCGCCCGCGATGACGAAAACATTTTTGAGAAACGAAGGTCAATACGTTGGCGAAAAATATGAAAAATCGGCTGAGAATTACACCTCAGCCGTTGATCCTAAACTAAACTCTACATAA